AGCTCATACTTGCTAATTTTTCAATGATAAATATAGAACACATTAACATTACATGAAATGAAAAAGCCTGAAAGAAATTAATTCCAATGTAACTATGTTTTATTATTTTCTTACAATATAATTATTTTCTTCACTATGCTTTCATTAGGCTGAAACATTAATCTTACACATAAAACATGGTAGATGAAAATTTAAGTGTTGTTTCAACTGTTTAATAATCAAAATGTATACATCAAGTTGCAGATGCTATCATATTTTGCAACAGTAACATGTGAAAATATCAATTGAGTACCTAAGTTGGCATTTTCACCTAACTTTTATCTCTTTGCATTCAGTTATCTTAATAACTGGGTCATTTTATCACTTGTGTATAAATCAGTAAGCATAAGGGCCTAAAATATGAATAATAGAGTTGACACAAATATACTCCTCCACACACATATCACATAACTAAAATAAAATGTAACTTTTAAAGGTTAAATAGATTTCTTTTGGGCATATAGAAATAAGAGGTATAATCTCTTTTTTTTAGGCATATAATATGAGGAGATACCAAAATAATGAATTGGGAAAATAAGCAATCACAGGAGTCACTGATAAGGCTCTAATTGAGATCACTTATAAACAGGTATCAAAAACAAAAAAAAATGTAGTCAAGTTAAGATTTGCAACAGAATGAAACTTATTGTTCTTCCTCTGAATTTGATCCTATGCTAACGACCTACTTACTCTTTTCGTCCTCTAGGTTCACTCTTCATCCTTTCCACCAAGCTTCGTGGTCTAGAATGCTGAACTGTGTGCATTTCACCATGAGAGCACCCTTGTACTCTGACTTCTGATGAGTACAGCAAACGAGGCACCAGCAGAACTGAAGGTAGGAGGAGCATGAAAACCCAAGGTATTTTTTCCTTACTTCCCTCCCATCTGGCCTAATGTGGGCTGGCAGTGGTTGCCTTCCTCTACTTAAAGCCATAGGTTCTGTGTGCATGGCCCTTTCCTAAAAGCTACCAGCTTTCCTGAGTTCTGATATCTCCTGCTTCTCCTTACTTCTTCATGAGTAAATGTGGTCACAGGTTTTTCCCTGTTGTTTCACCCACATTCTCTACAATTCCTTCTTGTTTTCCATTAAACTTCCCACACCTATGTAATTAGTTGCTTTATGAACATTTTGTCATTTATTGCTTTTTTAAATTGTGCCAACTCATTATGTTCTGGGATACTGACTAATAAAAATAACCAACTGGTACTAATATGGTATTTAGAATAAATTGTGGCAATATAGAGTGAAGAAAATGTAATAAAATAATAAATCATAATAAACCAGTCATTTACATTAAAAACACAAATTTCTCTAGTTAGTGTATTTCCCTTTTAGATTTTCCTCTTATTGTCTTATTTAATTAGTATGCAAATATTTGTGAAATAGCAAGCCAGGTATTGAGACAGGTCTCACTCTGTCATTCGGGCTCTGTCATTCAAGCCAGGGATGGAGCATATAATAATGTACTATAATAAGATTTACAGTTTTCTTACTTTAATGGATTATAATCTGGTCGGGGACATTATCGTCAATTAAGTGACATTTAGAGTGAGACCTAAAAGATGAACAGGAGCTGGACAGTTTAAGAGTTCTAGGCAGAAGCCACAGCATATAAATGGTTCTAGAGGAATGAATAAACTTGGATCTAAAAGAAGTGCACTTTGGGGCAGAATATAGGACTAGATGAGTCTGAGATATGAGACTGAGAGATTTAGTAGCAGCCAAATTATAAAGACCCTAGAATACTATGCTAAAATCTTTGCATTTTTTTCTAAATGTAATGGGAAACCATCAGAGTGCTTTCCATGGAGGAGTGACATGATCACATTTACACTTTAGATTCTTAATATTGTGCATGTCATAGATCTATGTGAAAATCTGATGAAAACACTGCTCCTTTGTTCAGAAGATGATTTATTCATGCACATACACAAAAACTTCTTCATCTGCTTTAAAAAGACACTTAAAACAACTAAAATCTGTACTCTGAACTCATATATGAATGCCTGAACCACAAGGGTATAGTTTGGTAAAAGAGCTCATTAAATAAGTAAAACAGGTAAAACACTATTTTAATGTTCATAATAAAAACAATCAGGGATGTAAACAAAGAACTGAGTTAAGAAGTGAAATATGAGTCATAATTTGAGAAATATTAAGATTTTTTTTCTGTAGTTTTTGTCTAGATAGCCTAAGGCATCTAATTATCTGAGGGTTTTGTTTTGTTTTGTTTTGTTTTGTTTTGTTTTGTTTGAGGGGAGAGATTGGTCACAGAAAGAAAGAGGAATGCTTTAAAGTTGTTTTAGTAAGAATGAAGAGAAATATTCAAAGTCTGATAGAAAATAGGATATTTCAATATGTTTAATATGATTAATTTCTTTTTTCTTTTCTTTTTTTTTTTATTTTTGAGACAGGTCTCACTCTGTCATACAGGCTAGAGCATAGTGGTGCAATCATAGCTCACTGTAGCCTCATACTCCTGAGTTCTCAAACTCCTGGGTTCAGGAAATATTCGTACCTCAGTTTCCCAGGTTTTAATAGTTAGGACTAAAGTCTTGCAACACCATTCCTGGCTCATTTTTTAATTTTTTTTGTAGAGACAGGATCTAGCTATTTTTCCCAGGCTGGTCTGACACTCTTGGCCTCAAGTGATCCTGCTGCCTCTGTGGTTAATATTTTTAAATGCAAACTCTGATATCTAAAATCTTTTTACGGTATCACCACACACAAGCCATGCTTTTATAGAAAGAAATAATTTCTGAATTCCATTAGTATATCAATTATCAACATTGAATAACTCAGATTAAGTTTCAGCATTAATGTAGAAAAGTTAATATTTATGCCCATGGTACAAGCCATGAGGATCTGTGGCCTATGGGAAAAGGATATAAAATAGAATAATTTCAATTAAGAGTGGAAGAGAGCTGGATGTGGTGACTCATACCTGTAATGCTAGCACTTTGGGAGACTGAGGCAGGAGGGTCACTTGAGCCCAGGAGTTTGAGATCATAGACAGCTATGATGACGCCACTGCACTGCAGCCCAGACAACAGAGGGGCACCTTGTCTGGAAAAAAAAAAAAAGAATGGAAGAGAGAGCTAAATAGTTACTTCCTTTTTAGCAAGCGATGGTTAAATAAGAGAGGCATGAAAGAGAGGACAGATATGTAAGACTGAGATTTTTGGCCTTTGGTGCAATGTAATGAAGGTAGGTTAAGTTACTTCAAGAAAATTGCTAAGTATGAGGTCTTTTGCTTAAATTCAGATTATGTTTGAGACTCTTGAAAGAGATCACTTTACCATCTTCCTCAGACAAGCCTGAGTGTAGGGCATCAAAGTAAAATATTTGGTATACCACACCAGGGCGTAGGAGGGGGGTCCTGAGGATTTCTTCCCCTGCTAATCTGTAAGTATTGTGGAAAAGATTAGGAAGCTTCTACTTCTTCATCAAGGGGTGAGGTGATGTGGTATTTAGCTGAGTGTCTACCCAGATAACTTCTTAGATGGGAATTTCCATTGTAATGTACAAAATGGGGGTATAATGAAAGGCAGCAGAGCAGACAACCAGAGTTGAGCACACACATGCATCTAAGTCAGGACTTAAGTCCACAGGAGCAAAAGCAAAGTTGGAGAATATAGAACCAGTTGAAGCAGAGAGTTCAGACCATGAATTCCATCTGCTTCAAGTTTAGAAGCTGATTTTAATCTATCAGAAAAGGAACTAGTCACAGTAGATACTAGGACTGAGGGCAGCTTAAGAATATTGAGCATAAATGAAAACTATTTTCTTTCTGTTGACTAATAGGGCCATGGTAGTACCCAAATCTGGAGAAGAGGAGAAAATGAGAGGGGTTCCTTAAGAATGGACAATAATTCAAAAGAAAAAGAGTTACTTAAAAGACTGCTAAAATTGCAGGATCAAACCAAAATTACTGGAGTGAACCACAATTTAGATTCTCTTCTACAGAAGAAGATTAAAATAGTTTCAGAAAAATAAATACTATTTTTGATACACAATTGAGGGTAATATGAACAAATCTTTGAAACTATTTAAATGTTTTACAAACCATTAAAATAATTTCTTTTATTTTTTTCCTGGTGAGTGGACAATATGGGTCATGGAAGAATTCAGAGAATAATATCTATTGCATTGAAACAGAGAAATAGAATGTCTACGTGAGTACAATCCATGCACATGCCACCTCTGTACCATTGGAATTGGATATCTATCTTAGGATGATGGTTTTCTGATTTGAAAAATTATAAAATATAATTAAACAATAATTAGAGATAGAACAACACACGGTTTAGTTAGCTGTATTGTGGTAAAAAAAAAACTGGGAAGAAATTTGGGTGGAGTTTGTACTATAGTAGATAAATATGAGAAAATTAGGGATACAATTTGAAATACGGGTATAGTTAGATAAGAGGAAGTTTAGTATTCTATACCGCTGTAGGCTGTAGGATGACTGTAGTTAACAATAATATATTATAAAATCTCCAAAAGCTAGAATGAGGATATTAAATGTTCCTAACACAAGAAATGAAAAATGTTTGATATGATAGGTATGTTAATTTTTCTGATCTCATCACTATACATTAGACATATCAAAACACCAGTATGCACCCCATAAATATGTACAATTATTATATGTCAATTAAAAATAAAATTTAAAATTGAATTATGCAGAAAAAAGATTAATAATCAATCTCTTAATTAAGGATATCTAAGTCAGTCAATATCTGTTGGTTATTATTATTTTATTGTTCTGTTTTGTTGCTTTGTTTCATTTTGTTAGCACTGACCATGGGTTGAAGTTACACAGTTTATGAAGAAAACAGTTTATATTAAGTTGAATATATATAATGTTTCACTTGATTTACCCTCATGTGCCATTGCCTGAAAACACTTATGGATTGAGAAATCATAAAAAATCTTTTTTCTTGCTAAAACCACTTACCTCATCTGCCTGTTACTTATGTGCTCTTGCTGTCTCCTTAATATTCCAAGGGGTTGGAGCTGCTTGGAATGGTTTGATTAAAACATTTTTTAATTTTCACAGGAAGTTCAACTTGGAACCTGAAAATAAAATGTGGACCTCTTATATTCACGCTGTATCACTTGATTATATGATGTGCTTGTGCTAAAATGTGTCGTACACATAAAATTTATCAAAGAAAAACAGAATTGGCTCTAGAAAATGCAAATGTGAAGTGACAAGGAGGGGGAGGGTTGAAAAGGAATAATGTTGGCATGTTCTATTTCTGTACTGGCCGCTCAATTTACCTCTTCCACTGTTTTACCTACTCATGAATCCAGAAAAACTTGAAACTTAAAGTTTGCTCCATCCTCCTGAGTCCCTGATTATATAGGTCACTCTCTGGGAGAATTTGCATTAATTTCAAAGTTTTGAAGATGTTCTCATGTACGACAAAACTCTGATTACCTGTTATCTGTTGTGTATGGAAGAAAAACGAAATGATCAAAGTATGATTTCACAAATTACATACTTTATTGGTGCGCAAAGAGAACTTTTTGTTGGTTTATAATGCTCAGATTGGGAGAATACCATGAACAAACCTCATAGGGAATACACGTGATAGATGAGGTGCACTAAGCCCACAGTGAGTTCCAAAATTACTAAATTCCAGTTACTCAATTAGGATGGAAGCAAGCTTCTGTGGAAAGTAAAGTCTAAGTAAATTTTGAAGTGTCCCTTTCGAAGGAGCTGTTCTCAGGAGGAAGTGGCTTGACTAGCACAGCAGAGATTTGTGAGGAAGCATGCAATTCCTTGATGTAAGAAGTCAGTGTGGGGGTTGACAGGCAAGGCTTTGGAGATTAACTCCAAGGCTAACAGGGTGTCGTCCTGTTGCAGCCTGAGCCCTTGGTGATGGGAGGAGTGGCTGACAGAGAGCAGCCTGTCCCAACACACGCACTTGGTCTTCAGAAAAGCCACCGACAGAGTGCAGCCCTGCTATGGCCTAAGCTCTCAAAGTGTCTGTCAAACTCCTGAGTTTATATGTAATTTTGAAGTCTAGTAGTTGAGGTCAATAACTCACATATGGGGGTGTCTGATAAGGTTCCACTTAACATTCCCTAGTGGAGAAAGGCATCCAAGTTCTCATATATGGGATCTGATAAGATGCCACAATCTTAAGGGAGAGGGAAACACACTCTAAAACAAAAACATCAGCTAGCAAACTATGTTAGGTCTTTGAAATCATTTCATTGCTAAATATTGTGTCATATTCCTTCACAGTATAAAACTTCTCAATGAGTCATCAATCTCTCATGCATAGTAGGCCAATTTTCCTTTTTCTTAATCAGAAAAAAACATTATTTTCCCACTAACATGTCAATATATTTAGCCTCCCATGCATTATGTATGCGCTTTGCTTTGTTTGATGTGCTTTCTCAATGGCTTCCTATCCAGGTCTACCTGTGATATTCCACAAGCTTTTGCTTCACATCACCACTGACTTTTCAGTAAGCTTTCTGTGTTAGCCTCAGTAGAAAAAGCATCTGCATACATTTATCATACTATGACTATAACAGACTACAGTTGAGTGAATTGTTGACATGTTTTCTGCACTACACTGCAAAAGGACCATTTTAAGAGCACTGATTATTTCATTTCAAATTTTATTAGCAGTATTTAGCAAAGTGACTAAATATGCACTCAATAAATAGTTGTTGACATGAATAAGTGAATGAACCAAATTTTCATTATTTTGATGACAAACATGCATTTAAACTGGTTTATGAGGTTAGGGACTCGATTCGTTTGTGAGTTGCTTCTTTTTGTTCTTTACTTTGACTTTTTCAATTAAATATTGAAAATTCAATTTAGAACATACTAATTGAAAACTCTGTGCATAACACATGATACATGATTGCCAAAAAAAAAAAAACAAAAAAAAACCTTTGCCCTTAGTGTTCACGATCTCATTTACATGGCATAAAAAGGGAAATTATGAATATTACATATTGAATCAAAGCAATTTAATTCCTATCAAAGTCCCTTTAATCTGCATGCTCCATGATGTAGCCAATTAGTTGCTGGGTTTTCTGTTTTGACATTATATGAAGTTTACTGGCACCAGTCTGTAGCAATTCTTTGATTTGGTTATCTCCATGAAATATGGAATGAAGAAAGCATAAAATAAAAATATAAATACTGTAAATATCAAGATGATTCAGCTTTGTTATTGCAGCAATGACCTTGAAATTATTTAAAAATAAGAGACCTCAAAATTATTTTGAAATAAGGGAATGGAAATCCTACTAATAGCACAGATACACATATGTTTTTTGGTGTCAGCTTAAGAAGGAGCAGAAATATATGCATGCAGCACATATGTACACCATTTCTTCTTTATTTCCTTGGAGGAAGCGGTGGAATTTTGCCTGTCAGTGACATCTGTGATGTGGTTGTAATAGAAAGAAATCTGTATGCAATTGCCCAGAACATCTGAAATTTTTTTCAATAGCAATTATAAAATTAAATCTTTATTATTTTTTTATGGTGTCAAAGTGGCAGAATGTGCTTGCTGTATTTCTGGAAAAATAAAACAAATGTAGTTTCTGTTCCTTTCTTGTGTGCACGTGCACACACAGGCACACAAACTGTGCATGTGCATGTATACAGAAAAGCTGTCCGCTTGTTTTCTTATCATGCTAGACTTCTTTCTTTTTTCCTTGTCTGATTTTGTTCGCTGGCCATCTCCAATAGGTCTCTATCTTGTCTTTGATAATGTAGATGATTTACTTCATTTTAGCAACTCTTTGTTGTCCTACTTTATGTTCATATAACCCATGGCTTTAAGGAATTATGTAAGTCAGAAAAGATACAACTGTAGGCTGGAAAACAGAAACTAAGTATGGAGACAGAACAGACACATAATATTTGACAATGCCATTCTGATTTAAAATTTGTTTCAGCTATATTAATTTGCATGCCCTTCACAAGTTTTTGTGTTTGTGATTATGTTTTTATTGATTGGACATTAACATTACTTTTTTTCCCTCTATGATTTGCATTATGGTTTTTATCTATTGTCATCAGTATATTATAAATTCACTTTAACACAAGAATCGTTTGATTAACGTTTGCATTCTTCACTATACAGTAGATGCTCAAGGTTAGTTAATGGCTGAATAACCGGCTTGAGTGGAACATGATTTTGCCATTAGGTTACATCTAACTACATGATGCAAGAATGTTTATTAATGTCCCAATTAATGTTGTATAAAAGCATACAAAATAGAATTAAAATAATAATATATTATGAATCAGATATATCTAAATTCATGAAATTAAAGTTGAACTTTTAGAACACAGTGTGTCTAAACTTTCTAGAAAGCTTTACTCCTTATGAAAAATATGACAGTTTTGTGAAAAGAAAAATATTGTTAAATTGTGACATTATTTTCTTGCTTCTTCATCCAATTTTTTTCAGCATGCTTAGAAAAATCTATATATTGGAATTCCTAAATAAGAGTGTTTTTAGGACCTAGTATAAAAACTCTATTCCTGTAAAAACTTTCTATTGACTATCTTGTTTTGTCCCATTAGCGTGACTCTATTTTTCTATGCAACATTGGTCTAGTTGCCATCTCCTGCTTCCTCACTTCTCTCTTGACTAAAGTCCACATTTCTGAAAATCTGATTTTCCTCTCAGCACGTATAATGCAAAACATTCACCACTCATTGCCAACACCCAGCAAATCCATTCCTTTTCCTGACTTCACTTCTACCATGTATGCTTGTGGTGCTCACACAATCTCACAGGATCCAGTGACCTTCATCTCTTTCTATTCTGTTTATTCCTGTGTCTATACTTGCTCTGTATTTCTCATATGCATTTCTGCTTTACATTCCAAGGCCGCCACTCTAATTCAGGGTCACATTAAAACCATTGCTTAACTGGTCTCTTCTATGCTTTATCACATCTATAGTTTGAATGTATTCCCCCAAAGTTCATGTTTTAGAAACTTAATCCCCAATGCAACAGTGTTTAGAGGTGAGGCCTAATGAGAGGTGATTAAGCCATAAGGGCAGAGTAAACTGATTAATGCTTTTGTCCTGGGAGTGGGTTCCTTACTCTCTCTCTTGCTCTTTCTTTACCCTTCTGCTATGGGATGATGCAGCAGGAAGGCCCCAGCGAGATGCAGCCCTTCAGTCATAGACTTCCCAGCCTCCAGAACTATAAGCCAACAAATTGATGTTCATTATAAATTACCCAGTCTCATATATTCTGTTATAGCAGCACAAAAGGATCTAAGACACCATGTAAACACCACTCAGTATACAATAGCCATGTCCATCTTTACAAGCATAGATCTGTTTGTAACATTGTATGTTTCAAAGGATTATTGAATATCTTTGCTCTCTAAAGAGCAAACAATTTCTTCAGCCTGTTGTGCAAAGCTCTCAACACTCTTCTCCCTACCCTGAAATTCTATGGTATTTTTTTCTGTTGTATACAATAGCACTCAACCACAACCTACCTGGTCTACTGTTCTTAACTCAGGCATTTCACATTCCTGCTCTCATATACATATATCATTTCATCTTCATATTTTAGAGCCCTCCCATGCATCTATGTCCAGGTTCTACAATTCCTTGAACATCCATTGTCAATTCCCAACTGCTTCATGAACCCTTCATTAACAACTCTTAATTTTAAACTACTGCTTATTCCTGTGTCTGACTTTGTATCTTGGTTCAATTGACATAATTTTAATAAATATATTTGATTCTGAATTACTTTGCATATTGCCTTATATATGGTAAAAATGTCCCCCACCACATGGCTGCCCACCCAGATACTAAATCAACAAAAATATCACATTTCTGAGGTGCATAACAGAGATTAGTGCTGCTTTCAAATGTTTGAGTATTCCCTCCAAAATAAAAAAACACATTAAAGATAACAGATATCAACCACAACTCAGAAGAAATTATAGCAGCCGAGCTTATACTTTGTTGCACAAATCCTCTTTTACAAAGTTTTTTCTGAAATTGGGAAGTACTAGGAATATCATATATTTATGGTAAAAATAAAATAAAATA